GTGTCCTTAAGTCCGTTCATTCTGAGTGAATTATTGCGGCCGTGCTGCTCCAAATCATTATGACGTGCCTCGATAGCGTCATTAGAACACTGGAGGTCACCGATTTGGGTCTCCAGGTTTTAAATGGTCATACGGAGATTATCATTTTCCATTTCCAGTTCGAACACTCTCCTTTTGAGTTCTTCAACCAGTTATATATATATTCCTCTCGTATGGATTTTTTTAACTTCTCATCTCGGAATCAAAGTCTGCCTTTGTTCTGAGTGAAGTTAACAAGGATGAAATCTCATCGGGTCTGTCAATATTCTTATCCGCTGGCCTGGTCTTAACCCCGGCTGCTCCTCCCGTACTGTGCTTTCTGCTAGCAATGGTTTCCACTGAGTATTACATATATTAAGTCAACGTATACAAGTCCATATAGCTATAGTAGAGTGTGCTGTGAGCAGTAGTATCTAGGTAGGGTATCAGGCCATTGTCCTAACTCAAAACGTCCAAAACACACATTTCCACCGAAAATTCCAAAAAACAGATACTGATAAGGGATAAACTTTCCACTTATGTAGTATGCAATCCAAAAATTATAATACAAAACGTGTAATAATATAACAGAAAACTCTTTTTTTTGTCGGAGCTCCAGACAAAGGACTACCCAGGCCAAGCGTGACATTGACCCTCCTATACATAGTAATAGTAAACAAGTCTGAATTGTACAGAGGGCAATATCAGAAGTCGTCCCCTAAACGGACCCTTTTGTCACAAATGGTGCATTAGATAGAATTTCCAATGCCATATTGCAATTACATAATATTTTTTGGCAAAATTAGAAATAGTAAGGGACCATTAGCATATATTTGGCCTCAACACATAACTATGTTAATCGTTTATAAACCACAGCGACAATGTTTCATAACCGATCGAAAAATGAAACTGTTAATACATAAAACGTGCTAAACGTACCCTTATTACTAAAAACGTGACTGGCAAATAGAAAAAAAAAACTGACTCTGTGAGCATCATTGTACCTGAACAATCCCCGCTACTTCTGGCACATAGTGAGTATCGACAGTGTGCCGGACAAGTCTGCTTACAGTCAATGCCATAAAACCCGGGTGCACATTCTAAACATAATTAAACAAATACATGTTTGATGTCTCGTTGCAGTAACTATATATATGTTCACACACTTGTTTTTAATTTATTATAGCAATTATATTTGCCTTGCTGTAGTAAAATACGTCCTTCTGTTATTTGATATATTTAAATTGTGTGTTAATAATGTACATTTAAAGTAACCTCTTGACGTATGATATCAAGTTTCTTACTGCGATATAGTTTTGCTATACCCCAAAATTACTTACTCCGTCTGTTTTACTATGCCAAACACGTAATATACCATACGCTACAAAACAATATCTCATACAGTCACGTCTCAGCGATAAATAAACTGAGAATATCTTTACATAAGATCATAATTATATCTTTCTAAACACATTTTAACCGTCTCAAATAGAATGTATCTTGTTAAACAAAATTCGGGATTAATGGACTAACAATGCTATTGAGATATCGGTGATGGCTTTCGCTAAGAACGTTTCGTTATGATTGTACACCATGCATGATCACCATTAAATGTCCTAAATGTATCGTTATACACACTTAAAACGTATACTTAATGCAGCAAAACCTAGATGTTACAGTAGTCAATGCAATAAAGGATACATATCCTAATATTTAGAATTAATGTTATTGAATGTGTAACCGACCATTTCACGTTTCAAACTAATAAATAGGGAAAATATAATTAGATGATTTTACTTCTGTCAATGACCTTACATATCACCATACCTGTACATATCCCACTGGTCTGATAACATATATCCCTTTTACAATTGGACGGGCAGCTTGTGTTGCAGGGATCACCAAAATAGCCAGGTCTGCATGCTTAAATAACAACATCGGCAGTCATTTGAGACTAAAAAACATACATCATTCTATTTACTTTACCGAAACAAAACGATAAATTAGGCATATGTTCAAACAAGATGTACAAGACAATGCTGGCTTGAATAAAACATAAATACGATTTTACATTTGTATCTCTTTTCAAATGAGTATACAATTGCATCGTATTTACCTTCAATTTCATTTAGAAATTTAATCAATCATAGCAAATTTGAACAAATAATTATAAAACATTACTTTGGGGATACAAAACGAAGATCTAAATACCTCAGATTAGAATTTTTGAAATGATTAAAATACTTGTCTTGCCCTTGAGCGTTTTATTATACATTCACAGATAAGAGAGAATACATTAAAACAAATTTCAGCTAAAAGTAATTTCATTGACAAAGTCACTGAACCTGTACATTTTCTCTCGTATTGTGTACATGTGTTGTTTTAACAACTGGAAAAGCATACCTGCATTCCATAGATGCCGTTGAATTGCGCTAATAGCAGTCATGCATCATAAAAAGGGCTCGACCCTAGACGCATCTTACGAGATATATTTGAATAAATCATGTCACGTTTTACCCCGTATCTATTCAGGTTAACCGTTTTCATAACCTAATCTGCGTGGAGTTTTAGAGTATGACGCACATATATTCAGTATGCAAGCNTTCATTCCATAGATGCCGTTGAATTGCGCTAATAGCAGTCATGCATCATAAAAAGGGCTCGACCCTAGACGCATCTTACGAGGTTTATTTTTTTTTAAACTGTTTCGATTTTAGGACATGTTAATCTACCCACCCCTCAATGTTATACTAACAAAGCTTGTTATCGTTCAATGTTAGAGAGTCATCCCTAACCATGGCTTAAAGAAAGAGAGCTAAAAAGAAAACATGGAATGTGAGTACGTCTATTTCACTATAATCTGTGTTTGAAATTTAAGTAGTAATGGGTGGTATTTTCAAACTTTATACGTTTATTTACTCATTCATCAAGCGGCAAGACAGCGGCAACTTACCGCTGGTAATCTTATTAATCATTGTTCAATATGAACTGAAAGTAGGAGGTTTTGATGGTATAGAGGATGTCTAAATAAGCGTTAATGAACTGAAGTATATTGCTATATATCTTATATATTCTCAAACATTTGATTTCATTGACAACTGACGCATCTGTTTTAACTCAGGAAAATATATTTTGAGATATATTGAAATATTAGTCATCAGTGCGTAGATCAGGTGTTCTTTTTTAAATACTTACGACTACAATTTCCGGATATTTTGTCACAGACATGATTGGTACAATCGACAGAGCAGTCATCACAGGACGATCCGAAGAATCCATCCTCACAGTCTGCCCATTCCAAAATCAAAACGAACTTGATATATTTTCATATTGACATTTCACGAACATATTTCATTACAAAACAAACCTATATCTTATAAAACAACTTTGTACTGTATGCATGTCATGTATAAACATAAGTTAAGTTTCTTCTTGTTTTCCAATGTAATGTTACCTCAATATGATGTAATACATTTTGATGATCGGGACATATACTATCACCAAATCATAATCCGACCTGATATTTAAATCATGTTGTAAAGTTTTTTGCGTAGTACTACCAGAATGTGTTTAAGTATCTTATTTTTTTTTCTGTTTTGTGTTATTTCTACATATTTCATCATGTCCTATATTACCTTTCTAGATTCGCAAAGATCATGATCATTTTTACCGAAACCCTACGTAAAAAGCCAATAGCTGTGCACGTTTGAGCTGTATATTCTTTCCCTCAGTTTAGGGCTGCAAGTCGTATACCATATTATGTTTTGCATATCGTTTTAGTTTTCATTTTTTAGACGTTATGAAAAAATCTAAATGTTATCAAAATGTATTTGAATTATCTATGTTGACATGACAAATACATATGTGAATTATATATAATTTCCTAACTAATCCTTAAATAACACATTTCTCTACACGTTTTTCATACTTTCCAGTGATACATACCTTCACACTCTCCAATGCTTTGCATACATCGGTTGTCTTTACAGTTGAACGGACAAGTCTGATTACAACGGTTTCCATAATACCAGGGAGTACACGCTTTCATGGAAAATCACAAAGAACAAGTCGGAATCCGAAAAATGGTAGGAAGCTACATTTTCCTTATCTAAGTTTTAGGTAATTAATTGTCACTGATGATGTGATTGTACTCAATGGTGCTTAATACATGTTTATGAGCAAGAAAACATGTTTATTGTGAACCGAATCTTATCAATTTATAATAAAAAAATAAAATTATCATATAATTTCATGTACTTGATAAATATATATCAGCAAATAACACCTCAGAAGTGGTTTAATTATAAAAATTGAATGAATTTGTGTCCCCAAAGCGAATGCATTATGTTTTATGACAAGAAATTAAATTAACACAAAATGTAAACAAAAAAATCCATATAAATGTTGATTTAAGCAGAAGTACATGGACTCACTTACCAGAACAAACACCGGAGTCTACGTTACATGTGTTATCATAACAATTAGCGGGACATTCTACACATAAAAATACAGGCCTATAGTATCCAACTGCACAGTCTAAAATATTATGAAACATGTACATAATGTATATATATTTATAAGACGCATTGTCTACAATGATTTTAGAATTATGTGGCGATATTTTATATAATAAGTTGAAATGTATAGTGAAGACTGCTTACCATATGTTGATTTACTTGAATAAGAAAATGTTACAACGTTATAATGAGCATGATATTATGTTGTTTACATGATAAACATGTATATATGTTATCACTGCACCGAAAGCCTATACGATGCCAAAGCAAAGACAATGCACAGTATGTTGAATCAATTTATGATGACGCCATACACTCTTTGCTAATACTTAAAATGAGTTTTATCTCAACGGTTCTCATGAATAGAAAAATGAATGATAAACTGATTTGTTTTCTCTCGTCCCACAGCCAAATGGCATGTTGTACTTTTTTCCACTATTATTATCTTTAGATGCATGTACTTACATGCACATCCTCCGGTCACTGGATCACACAGGCTATTGGCACAGCCTACATCACAATCTGAATCACAATTACCATCACCATATTTCCCAAGCGGACAACCTGAAATATATTAACATACGAGTTCGGACATAAGTACGGAAACGTAAATGGACCTCTACTTATTGGAATAAATGTCACTTTATCGACATAAGGTATGTCGACTTAACGACATTTTACTAGACATATCGTCATTTAAATGTCGACATTTCGTGTTATATCATAACTTGTCAAAATAGTTTACACGTAGAAAAATAATGTCTTGAAATGGTAGACACCTATCCTGTGACAGAAAGAAAAAAAATTGAACAGATACTTTAATTATATTGCTAAGATGTTGTTATGGTTAACCATTTATCTTAAATAGGGATTCATGAATATTCATTTGTGTCTAAAATACAACTTCTGAAAGTTCCATTATCTCTCAATATTCTCTACTAGTGTGAATACAATTCTTTAAATTTAAATATTTCAGTTACATACCGTACACTTCTACCTCACAAAGCTCCAGAACAGCATAACTAGAGTACCACGATAGACCTCCTGACCGTCTGTCGCTGTAGATCGTCAGGTACTGGGCGCTACCTGTACATGGGATCTCGGGAATCAATGACAACGCGGCCGACGTTGATGATGTGTCTTTATGGCAAAGGTGACCGTTCCGCCAATCCGACGTGTTCGACTGGTATATTTGATAGCCACCAAATCGTTGTTTCTGCTGATAACCTTGATCTAAATTTGATAAACAAGATTCTCCATTACAGCTAATGCGTATATATTGTTTTTACGCAGGACTATTTTCGTGTTTTCGCCAGGAAATTACCCACTGGATGTTCTGTAACAGGCGACTGATGCAGAAACATCATGAGGAGTTATGGATTTTCATTTGTTTTCTCTTTTTGGGATAAAACTTCTGCAGCATACATTTTTACGTTCGGTATCGTTATATTTTTATTTCCATTCCAACTATTTTTTGAAGCCCTCGTTTGCAACACTTTCCGTTTTGCCTTTATTATTAACAAGATCTTTTTATCTTGATAAAAAAAAAATAATAATAATAGTAATAATCTTTGTATCGGTTATGTTTCTGTTACGTTCAATTTAATTGATACATCACATCAAATCATGTATAAAGGAAGGAATCATTGATTATATGTTGGTTGTTCTTATCAGTAATTGTCCTTAATAAAAGTGTGCCTAACAAGGCTTGGCTTTGTCACACCTCCTATCCATAGGTACTCGGACAGAAATAAATACACATGTATCGACCATTGTCGTGTGTTAACGTATCCAGAGAAAACCGAGTCAGAGCACTTGAGGTTTACAGTTTCAGTAGTATACCAACAGCCGTCGTTAATAACCAAGAATCCAACCAGGGTCTATATGAAACAGTCTTATGAAAACCACTGGTGTGGAGACGATTCATTAGTCAGAATGTCGACTTGATGGAAAGCATTACAAACAACATAGACAACCTTATATGCTTATTGAATACGATATACGGCATTGTATGTACATTGCATTTTGCTTTCTGTGTTTTTATGCTAAATGGTGTGAAGGTATTTGTGTTGTTTTTACTATTCTCGGGGTAGCCCTAACGGGCCGTGTAGCCATTTATAGCTAAAAACAAATGTCCTTCTATACTTTATTATGTAAATATCGTTTTTGAATGTCAATAATCTCAACTCCGAGATAACGACTTCGCAATAGCCAGTGTAATATGAAGACGGGTGGGATGGGTATGGGGTGGAGTTCCATTTTAGTCGTATTTCACGACATGCAGTTAGACAACACAGTACCGTCTATAGGTCACGAAAAACACGTTACAGTAAACAATAGCAGGATTTTGTTTTATTATTGAATACAAAATCAAACTATTTGATTACTCACCTCTGTAGTATATTTTGACGTATTCCATAACGATCAGTCCATCTAGATCTACTTGCCACCATGCCTCTTTTTGACCTGCCTTTGTATGTGAACAACAGTTGTGGACGAAATGCTGTTTTGTACAGCCATCTACTGCATTACCACTAAGATATGCAGCACTGTGGTTTGAACTTTGAGTGGTGATTTTGACATTTGGCTCACGGCTGGTGTTAACTGTAAAATAATTAATTATTATTGTATATATTACTGATCTAAAGTACTAATCATTGTCACTATTTTCAGCATTGAAAGGTTATCCATGTATAAATGTGTTGATGGTTAAAAGACAGAAATGATGAGCAGAAACTAAACAAACATTTATCAATAACCAGAAATTAACGAACAAAAACAGGTATCACTTATGAAATAATCTGATGTTAGTGCATACCCCATCGGCTAGCTTGTAAATGAATGATATATATATGCCAAACAATTCATTTTGAAGACATGAGATCACTTAAATAATACGAATTTGTGAATGAAGCTTTTGAGAAGATATAACGCAGTAGTTGTTCGTGTAAGCCCGGTGTTAAGAACACTGCGAGAGACAGTCTCTGCAAATCAAAATGACAGACTTCCTTTCGACTAGGTATCAAACAGAGATCAACGATTGAAAATGTGGGATAATATGACCGTAACTTGAAAAAAAGATCTATAAAGCGACACACAAAACATTAGTTTTTTATGGCTATAAGTAGTTCAAAATAACATGTTAAACGATTTAAAAAAATGACCCCTGTGACATTGAAAGTGAAACAGGGTGATCAAACTGTCATCAAACACAATTCATAGCCCTTTATCTCAGCATGCAACTTGCCAAATATCACCACCCTATACTTTTTGTTTATTGAGATAAGGTCATTTAAAGGTGTATACATATTTTACTAAAGTTGACCTTGAAAGTGGGTTATTCATTTTAACAAACATGGTAGCCGTTTACTCTAGCCAACTACTAACTAAATATCAGCATTCTAGGCCTGATGGTTATTCAGAAGAAGTCATTTAATATTTTAAACATACTTGACCCCTGTGATCTTGAATTCAGGTCCAGTTCATTCATTTGAACTAACTTGGTAGTCCTTTATCCAAGCATCCTCGTGGTCAAATTTCATCATTCTGGGCCTCATGGATATTCAGAAGAAGCCGCTTTAAGATTTTAAACATATTTGACCTCTGTGACCTTGAATTCGGGTTCAGATAATTCATTTGAACTAACTTGGTAGCCCTTTATTCAAGCATCCTGGTGGTCAAATTTCATCATTCTGGGCCTTATGGATATTCAGAAGAAGCCGTTTTAAGATTTTAAACATAGTTTATCCCTGTGACCTTGAATTCGGGTTCAGATCGTTCATTTGAATGAACTTGGTAGCCCTTTATCCCAGCATGCAACTGACTAACTATCACCATCCTAGGCCGTCTGGTTTATCAGAAGAAGTTGTACAAATATTTTAACATACTGTATTTGACCGCTTTGGCTTTGAAAATCCGCGGAGGTGATTTATTTGAAGAAATTTAATAGTCCTTAATGCCAGCATGCTACTGGCCAACTATCAACTCTATAGGCTTATTGGTTATTCAGGAAAAAATAATGTGGATAGCTAAAAGTTGACGCAGGACAGACGGATGGATGACGGACACCGCACCACGGCATAAGCTCACTTGGCCCTTTCGGCCGGGTGAGCTAAAAAATGAGATAACATGTTCATATTTAGATTTTTTTCCAGAAATGTTCTTTTGAATGATTCAATTGGGGACTTCAGTACAGGGTGTAATCTATGCAGGGGCGCCGTGTCTGCATGAACAATTACATTATGATTTTTCCTCACTGTTTTTTGTTTTTTTTTGTATTAATTCACGTTATCTCAAGAATACACGTTTGTACAATGATAAGCCTTCGGTTACAAGCTTACCACCTGTCACAAGACTGGTCAAATGTGGATAAGGTTTGTAATTTGACTACCTGTTTATCACAGGCTGGTCAGCACCTTATCTGTTATTGCTCTCGTCCCTTTTTTTTCTGACTACACACTGGTTGAACTAATAAATAATGGACCTTGGATTTATCCTGTCATTTTTGTTATGACTCTATGCTGTTGCAAACCATATGCATATAATGCTGTTATGTATATTATGTTTATATTTTAACCACTTTGTACATTTCTATGCTAACTCCTGGGTATAAAAACAGTCCCAATGGGCCTGCATCGCTCACCTTGTGTTAATTTCACGCCTGTAATATTGAGGTTCAACAAGCTTCTAAATAAATGTAATAGTCACATTAAATATCAACCCCCTTGTATGTCATATTCACAGACCCCATATTAAAAATCGGAATATATATATATATATATATATGTAATTAAAATATATTGAATTTGTACGTAATATACTTGAAAGGTACATATCCAGGTTAACGTAGTCAATAATTAAGCATCAAGGCTTTTGTTCATAAACATATCTCACTGGACTTATAACATGTCAATCTCTTTAGTGATTTCGCTGAATGCTACGAAATGACATATTATATAAAGTTAGTTTATATACATAGGTCATGCGGAGATAATTTCTCTTTAACTTGGTGTGGAGAGGCATACCAGCCTCAAAAAGTAGATGATTGTTGCTAAGGCAATGTCCAAAAATCATGGTGAAACGTCCGAATAACATATTTTTACAGGTAAATATTTTAAAAAACATAGACCTATGACCATAAAAAACACTTTAACTTCATATCAAGTGTTCTTTCTTAAATTCTTATGTGTATATTTATACGCTAGACATGTTATAAACATTATCGCACTTTCCAGCTTTGATGTTTATAACATGTTTAGCGCCTTCATAACATCACATAATGTTATTTAATGGGATATCATCTTAAGTAAACTTTAAATTTTACTATGATTAAAGTGGTAATCCGTGGCAACATCTATCTTTTTTGAGGAAGGAATTCCTGGCCATAGCTAGGAGAAGACAAATAAAATTCCGCATGACCTACGCATATACATTATCTTTAAATTATTGGTCATTTCTTAGCACTCAGTCGCAAAAGAAATTGACATTTTATAAGTCCGGGAGCAATTCTGTATGACAACATCAACCTTCATGGTTTAATATTTTTTCCATAATATACTTTGAACAGTTTCAATATATTCAAAAACCATATATAAGTTCCGATTATTAATTGAAGTCTTTGAAGATGACTTATTAGGGGGTTATATTGTTCGGTGACTACAGCATTTAATATAGGGGGCTTGTTGAACTTTAAACGTGGACTAAGAAAAAGTTACAGGCAAAATAGCAGTGTCTTGACTCAAAGTCATTCAAAAGAACCTGTTGAAAGATTTAAATGCATCTTACCCCTGGGGGCCAGCTGAGCTAAAAACTATATATCTCTTCATCCAAGCATGTTACTGGCCAGATATCAACATTCTGGGCCTTATGGTTATTCAGAAGACAACGTTTGAAGGTTTAACAAAATATTGGCCCCGGTGACCGTGAATATAAGTCGCCAAGGTCATTAATTTGAACATATTTATATCTGGCTGAGTAAGACTTTCAGCTTGATAAGTCATCGCAGCTATTAATGGTGACACAACAACAACATATAAATTCCCATCAAAGCGTTTTGTATAGTTTATGAAAACAAAGGGGCAATCTTTAACGTCTTTTTTTTTTAATTCCAGTTGGTTAACAAAATAAAACATCTTCTCCTGCAAAGCAATGTTGACATATATTTCTTAGTTAGGTCGATTTCTGAATATTTCAGTTTTCTTAATGATTTGGTAATGGCTTCATCCATGTTCAGGACAAATCAAACTGTAATAAAACAAGCCCTATAATATCTAGCCAATATCATATGAACGCAGCTAAAGGAACCCCCTCTTGCCCAATCCCCCCAATCTAACAACCACTTGCGAACCCAGGGAAATAAAACTGCCCCTGGTCACATCCCAACCACTTCTTAATAACCGAAACAAATCACCATGATCTCATTAATGTAATATAGGTTTGACCTTTCTGCACTCACCACTATCCCGGGGAGTGCTTTTCCAGATTTGACTATACCCTAAGTTCGAAACAAGGGGGCGATAAGCTAGTAGTAAAATGCAGTTGAAAAATTCGTCATAAAAACTTAGGGGCTGGTAGCCAGTCTAGGGTATTCAACTGCAACAGTATGCTTCACATACTCAACTACTTTGTTTTGTTGAGTTTTGACTGTTGATATCCGTTAAATGTTATGAACTGAAAACGTCATTGTTTCTGTCTTGAAAAATGGCAAATATCTTTGTCTGTACTGTTGTAACTATATGTTTTGCCTTTATATGTATTTAAGTAAAACCCCTCCAATAAACATGTATTTCATACTGTCGTTATTTCAATTTTGCCTATATATGGAATCTGTAGGTGGATAGACTAACGTTTTATTGTCATTGACTTGCGAACAGTGTTGTAAAACATATCAATCACCCTATCAATGTCAGCACAAAAAAAAAAGAACAGAAGAAACAAATAACCATTGACAGGCAATATTTTAAACATAGTAAGTATATTGTTTATGTGCTGTTTGTACATGTGCGTATCCTGAAATAAATGCATATCGCTTGATACTATATAACAGCAACTGTGCAATGCGGAAGTATGCAACATGAACGTTAGGTACAAGTTATATATTTACCCCTACCTGTTGTACCATCAATATTACCCATGGTCAAACATTAACGATTTGTGATTTAACATATAAGTCCATATTAACGTGACGTGCATGAGTATTAGTGGAATGAAGGATTAACAGAAAGTGTACATCAAATCATACCTGATGTGTTGACAATCTTTAAAGTTGATAAAATACACAGAACCTCAAGCAGCCAGATCTTACACACCTTCATTTTGCATATGCTGCGTATAAAACGTGAGATTTGTGTCTGCTCCGTCGAAAGCGCACAGGTATCCAATGAGGAAGTAAATGTTCTGCTCTACTAAACAACAAAATTGCACGGCCATTCGATAAGGTTGTTGTTGTGATTTTGTCAGTAGTTTTAATCTTGTTTTGTTGCCTGTACACATGTCTAAACTTGCCTTGATAGCTTTCTACTGGCAAAGACTTTCTATGTCGTAGGCATGAGGTAAATTACAAAAATGAACCGACGTTTTGTTTTGGCAAGGATAATTAAATCCTTATTATTANATAATGCATGGGGCCAAAAACACCCCTTAGTGCATATAGTCCTTTAAATGGACGTAAATTATATTTTCAAATATATAAGTGTGTCTGTACGCCTGTCTTTATCATGTATATGAGTGTATGTTATCCTGGCTATATAACCGAAATAAGGAACACAAAAAGAGGCATATTGCTGAAGAGACCTAATTCGCATAAGTACGTCTCATGATAATTTTGTGGGGAAAACATTTGTTAACTAACCTTATTTGTATAACACATCAACAGGTGGCAAGTCGATATCTCACCTATAATAACAGGATTAAAAGTCGTGTTAACTACCGACGTGATAATTATTCAGTCAAAGCTATCTTAGAAAATGTGATAATATATCGACATAACGAAAACAACAATGCGACACATCCAAATTTTATGATGACACATCAGATTATCTCGACACCGTAACTTCATAAGTCGATGCAAGAAATAGGGTCCTTCTGTAGTAGTTAAAATATGTTTATTGTATTGCTGCGGTATTGTTTTATGCTTGATTAGGGATAAGCCAGTATTATATCTGTAACACATTATCTTTTAACTGAAAAGGAGGGGCGCCGAACACTTTAGTGGAAATATTTTATGATATAAACAAACAAAATGACTCTTTGTTTTATCAAAACTAATTACATTGAAATAAACTAAACAACGATAAAACCAATTATCACTTTCAGCATGTATCGCCTAAACAGTTGAGTGTTATCAATAGATTTTTTGATTTGTCAATATAAAAAGTTTAATAGGTCTCGCGTGACTTCTATAATCATACGTCGGTGGGGATATTATTGTAATGTGCTCGAGACGTGACCGCAGGTAACTACACACCGCGCACTATCGTCATTGGTATACAAAGTAGGCTGATTCTTTAGACGTTGACCTTGATGAATAAACTAACGGAAAGTAATGCTGTAAAGGGATATGCGTGTGAAGTAGTTCAGCTTTGTATCATTCCTAGCCATATACAATGTGTATGCAGTTTAGCAGTTTGAATACTTTATTTCGATTTTGTTCTATATAAAGCGTTCGCAGATGATATATTTGTCGGTTAAAACACAAAAAATGTTTGCCCATTACGAAAAGCGACTATGCGCATGCGCTTACCCTTGAAATTTCCGTTAAAAGTTCAATTAAATCCCTGGAAAGGTCAGGCTGAACATTATGAGTATTTGATACATACAACAGTGCTCTCTGTATAGCTGATAATCACGGTCACTAGTTTAATGTCACACGGTGTGTTAAAGCGCTAGTTGGGGTTGATACATTGACTATTGGTTTCATTAATGGCACATATTACATATGGATATTCCTATCACTATACATTTAGGTAGATTGACATAGGACCGTTGATGGCCCATACATATATTGTCCCTTGATGTAAAATAATTAAGACTAACAGGTATCGTCTTACTTGATATTAATGATCAAAATGACCTTTGACGTTTGGAAACCTAAATATTGAACTTTGACCTATTTTGATCTATATGATTTGCAAATGAAAAGTATTGCTGATTGGAAATTATCATCAAAGTGACGTATGGTTTTCTGTTAAGACAATATGTGCAAGTGTAATGAATGTCATATTGTCCTTAATAATAATAATAATAATAATAATAATAACCCCTGGACAAATAACCCTAGTTTGTCTGTATTTTGACCGTTGGTATAGATGTGCTCCGACAAAGGATGCGAAATGAAAAATATGTATCATATTGATCATCAGTTTGACCTTTTCTGACCTGTACATTAATCTTCGATATTTAGAAGTTTGCTTCGGTAATGTATGCACAAAAATGAATGTTTATTATTTATGTTGATTCTTCGTATCGATATTGACCAGTAATATATCGTTTTTAATTCTGACATTCTTTTATGTGTTGTTGATCTTCGGTGTAATTTTGATTTTGCACAACATGTGTAAATAGCCGAGGCATATACTGTAGTTTAAAATCTATATAAACCTTTCATTAAGTAAAAAAATATTGAACTTAAAAAATGGTGTATATAATGGAATACAAAACATGAACTCAGTAGTATAGAGGTCGTATCTGTGACAATAAGTGATTTTTTGATAATCTTTTGGATATTGTCTACATCTTATTCATTAGAAATGCTTATTGTAATAAAAGATCAATCAATTGTTAATCAATATTATAAGGAGTTCTTGCCTGAAGAATGTTGAACAGCTAGGTATATCTCAGTTGATCATATGATGACCTGTGACTCAAAGTATGGAGAAATAGAGTTGGCGTTGTTTTAAGAAAAAAATCAAGGAAAATATGATATTTTAGTTGGTGCATACAAACCCATCAACATACTTGTACAAAAAAGAAAAATAAGCAAATAAAAATAAACAAATTGCACAATGACTTTTAAGGAGCCAAGAAATAGCAGTAACAAACTTAAAATGAGGCAGTGATGAAGCTTTTTTCGGCATCAACCTAATGTGAGCCTTATCTATGGGGATTTAAGAATTCCCAAAATAGTAAGCAGTAATTAACATAACTTTAACAAGAGGCCCTGGCCTGTATCACTCACCTGGAATAGTTTTGGACAGAAAACTGTATTAGTCTTCGAACTTGGATACTGACATATATATCACGATGCTCATTCGACTACTGTAATGCATTGTGTATAAAAAAACAAGAAAATACATACGAATAGATACATTTCTATCTGGTTGAATGTTTCATTCGTAGGTGATACATGTTTCATAATCGTTATACAAATGTTTACACCGTGCGAGAGATACTCAGAATCTCAACGAATACGAAAATGATATCAGCCCTTTTGTCATTCAAGTTTTCCTTCAAGTCTGATACGACTTACGACTGTTTGGCCAATAAAAAAATAGCTCTTCAACTGACCTTCGTTCATTAGCAGGCGGGTGTCCCAATAATTGAAATTCATCTATCACTGGACGTTGATAGTATTCACCTTAGGGAATTATCTAATTAGATTGACACTGTTATATAAGCGTGACCAGAATGGTTACGTAAGCGAGAATAGTGGTACGGGCATGTACACTCCCTCATCTTTTTGGAAGGTAAATTCAAAGATCGTAAGGAAGTGGCATATTCAGAGACGAAACTGGCTGAAAGTAATGATTGCTGTATACACAATTGAAAAAAAAAAAACAAATAGGAAACCAAAACAGTGTCACATTATGTTCTCTAATTGAAGAAAACAAACGAAAATTAAACAACGTCGTATAATGCAAAATTAAAAATTAAAAAAATAGAAACACGATATCGAATTTTAAAGTAAAATATAAAACCATTTTTTTTGTTCAGGTTGAGTCTAAATAAACACCACATAATTGATTCAGATGTCCCTGTGTAACATAACTCTTCACGTGTCCACATGCAGTAGGCTTACGTTTGAAAATGCACTAATAGAATATTTTACACAAAGTTTGATAACGCGTGATGGTGACACATTTGTAAAACTGAAATATATCTTATTCATTCTGAAGTTAAAAAAAAATAAAACTGACAGTCTGGCCGAATCCTTAAAAAACTTTCTGATTATGAATTGGCATTTAACAAGAGTGCGTATGTAACCGGAGAGACACACATTGAATGGTTAACCGATAATTTCGGCTTTTGCTATATTATTTGATATTGCAATAAAGGTCGAAGCACATTTTCTGACTGACTGACTGACATACATCAAAATAATAATATCAAGAAACATTCTTCTGATCTTATAGCTTCAATATTTTGTCCGCATTTTAAATTGTGAAAGCTGCGCTGGCCGATATATCTGCTCGTAACCTCACCGAAGATGATGAAACCGGGATCGTGAAACAGACTTAAGTATATGACAACATTTGAACTTAAGTTTGAAGTTTTGACTTTGCTAATATCACAATCTTAAGTGGATCATGAAACGTGCAAAGCAAAATCTTAGCTGAGTCCGAACTTAAGTCAAAAATATTCGTTGTCAAGGAAACGCGCGCGCCGAATTGCGTATTTACGGTATTTATAGAAACTCTTCAACGCGGAAAACCACTTTGATGTCGGTAAACATAAAACAAAATATTGGGCGAATTTAACTTGTTTTCGGATTACGAAGTTGTTGTCGGAGCAAGAATTTGTCAACAATTAAAGCCTGCTGTTCCAAAGGCTTGATGACACAGTCGCAAAAGAAATACAGTGTTGCCAACCGCCTGACTACTCGTAAGCTCCCCGAAGTGTTGACAAAATTCGCAATGCAAATTCCTATTACAATACTTTTTTCACACGTTTATCAAATTCTTGTGTCGTTGATATAGTTTGTATAAAGTCTCGAGTATGAGTATAAGTCTAAGTGGAAGAGGGGAACATACAGCCTACAGTATACTAGAAGGATCATGGTGATGATGTACATCAGATATTAAAATTCCCTGTCCGTCAGACTTCGATCATAAATGCTTACCGATAAATGTCATTACATGTGCATCATACATGTACATTTCTTTATGATTAAAGAAGACTTTGATAAAAGGTATTTTTTATAAACAGAGGTTAATATTTGCTTGTTTTAGAAACTCTAGATAACAAGTTAGGAATTATTTTAAAGAGTGAGGAATAGGATTCATACGATTCGTCTTCTCCCCCGCCCTTATTTTGAGTTACAAATTTTGGTGTATAACCATAATTATATTATAAATATTGAGATATGATACAATTTGCAGGTTAAACATTTAGTACACAGGAATAATCCTGGAGGGAGCCTTATGGGACCATTGACCCTTCATAAATGAAACTGACCCTTCCATGATCAAATTTTCTTTTAATTTTACATTGAAAGGCCTCTCTAAATTTTTATTTTTTTTATTTCTTATATTATGATTTAAGGAAATTAATGAAAAAACTTACATAGACATCACTTTCGGATAATATTGATGTTTCAATAATTGATGAGATGTAGTCATGAGTCAATGACAAGGTCAAAATGAACATTTTTAAATTTGATATATATATTTAATTGTCATTGTCATAAAATACACCTTGCTTCTATATCTCATATGATTTTTATGAATTTCACAGTCAATATATGAATGCCAGTATCATACAAATTTATCCTCAACCATACATTTTTTACACAAAAATATCATTTATTACTCTTTTTTGAGAAACATTTTTTCCCCCAAAAGCTTGAGAAATCAAAATAAAATTCCAGGTGAGCTATCAGGGCCCCTGGGCCTCTTGCTTGTGAATAAATTGAATAAATCTCCTGGCAAATTATGTATTTAACCAGTAGGTAAACTAATTGAGATATTCCAAGTGACTATGTAATTGTATTTAAGCATTCATTTTTTGATAAAAAAAAAAATTGTTACTATTCCTTAAGTATATATATATCTTGAGTCACATTGTTATGGAATATTTTGTGTCAAATCCTTACAAATGTGTAATCTTTCTAAAAAAATAAGTCATACCATAAGGATATCGCATTATTATTATTATCGATTTTCTTTGAGTTGTTACAGACTCTAAGCCGTAATTTCATTTTTTATGGTAAAGGAAACCTGCATTAGATACTATTCAATTATAGCATTTGGTTGAAGTCAACACCTGGATTTATTAACCTGAGAAAAGATATAATAACCGAGGATGTAAATGTTCTATTCAGTTAAAGAGTTTCATATTGTTTATCATGTTTATCTAACTGCGGTTATTGATATTCATTTTTATCAAAAAGACAATAAGCTGATATGAGTGTTTTTCTTTTTAAAATTTCAAAATTATTAAACTATCTCTATTGAGATATAGAAGCAAAATATGTTGAGGAGTTGTGGAAATTCTTTGTACCAAATGTTTTTATGACACTGTCAATTGTTTCAAATTATTAATCCGACATTAGCAAGAGATTCATTTTCTTGCTGAGTGCCATTCCTTCAGTTCCTTTTACATAAACACCCGATATCTTTCCAAAATCCCTTTCAAAAGTCTTGGTCAAATCATTCTTGGATTGAAACTTGGCTGCTTATTTTGGTATTCTTTTTATTACAACAACAACAATAAGATGTATATGCTTTTTTTATAATTACAACTGTAACCGATCTTTTTTTTTTCAAATGTTGATCTAATTATGTTGCTAGTAAACAATCCCTATATAAATTCGTGTTATTGGGTAAATAATAATAACTTTCAAAATGTCCCGATGATCTCCAAAAATTATGACATGTACGCCTTTTGAGCAAACTTCCTGAGTCTGGTATTACATAGAAATATTAATTAAAGAAATATACTTTAAAAGAATATTTTCTCAGATATCCATGGAATAGTGTGGTATGATATATCTGGAAAGATTATGCATATCTATGAGATCATGGTTGTTCTTTGACTATCAGTCTTTATGATATTATTTTTATATTTTTTGATATGTATATTGACTTGAGCAAGGTTAGGCCCTGGGGTGATTATTTGATTGTCTGACCCTCGGTGTGATTATTTGGTTGTCTTAGTAACGGTTTGACAACTAAAAAAAAGCCTATTTGGTTGGAGATTTCTGTGTCTCACCCTCCAGGTAGGGGAATATTTTCTATTATTAATCAACAGATCAGATTTGTTTAAAGTCCATAGACAAGAACATATTCATAAAAGCTGAAGGCCAGACAAGGGTGATCAGTTTCCTCAAATATTGTAAAGCTAAATGTTTAACAATTCTTTTACTAATCTTAATCATGTCAGGACATGATGACTGACTATATTCAAATAATATATTGCAAATACAACTTGATAAAAAAAACACCTCGAAGGTAATAATTCCCAAAGCCATGAATGGTTATTAAAATAAAGAAAAAATAGGCTCGAAGAAACAATACATGATTACATCTTCGTTTCAATCGCAGTACGGTGATAATTGTGATCTCGCAAATGCTGGATACATTTCGAGAGTGTTTATTAGTTTTATTACGGCCGTCAAGGATGCGGCGCTGCAGTCGCACTGTTTACAACACCGGAACGGTTGAAGTTCAAGCGAACGTCTGTTTGCAGTAGGACTAGGTCTATTAGGACACATAATACAAGTATTTTTTTGATAGGGAGGTACACGTCTACAACAAAATGAGAGTCAACATGTCTTCGTTTCAATCGCAGTACGGTGATAATTGTGATCTCGCAAATGCTGGATACATTTCGAGAGTGTTTATTAGTTTTATTACGGCCGTCAAGGATGCGGCGCTGCAGTCGCATTGTTTACAACACAAGAACGGTTGAAGTTCAAGCGAACGTCTGTTTGCAGTAGGACTAGGTCTATTAGGACACATATTACAAGCATTTTTTTGATAGGGAGGTACACGTCTACAATAAAATGAGAGTCAACATGTCTTCCTATGAATGTGAATGATGCAGCGGCTAGGACGGATTCCAGGACAAGCTGAGCCAGCGAGTGTAGATTTCGATGAGCTTGTTGGATTACGATGTGGACCGCCTCAGTATTGTCAATTGAATCAATCGCACGTTCTTAGAACTCTCCATTCGTCCTGATTTAATTTGAGGGTTTTAGAAATACTCGGGACGAAATGTCTCTTCCTTTCTCTCAATGGAGCAGACGGGCCCGTTCATCGTCCGTACACTATGAATAATAAATGAGAATCTTGGCCATGTACCGAATTAATTAAAGAACATTGATATCATAGTATGTACAACCATAATATGTATTGGATGCTTTGTAAAATCGTCAAGTGGAGGAACGTCCATCATTATAACAAACAGCCTACCGAAATCACTCGGCGAAACAATTCACAGACAATTACTTAATAATTTTGGGCTAGAAACTATAAATACGGAATAACTACGTTTACTCGGTTAACAAATATGCAAACGTGTATTTATTCAATTAACATTAGTATCTACTGCTGATTTATTGTAGCCTAATCCCTATAGATTACAACGGAAATCTCGATTAGAATAGTTTATCTCTAAGGTCGTTTCATTCCATTTCTTTTTCAATCATTCCTCGCGTTTCGTTTCGCCTACTTTCAATCCATTCCGTTCCTGTGAGAAAAGCATGTTTCGTTCTGTTCTATTCGCGTTTCGTTCCAAACAGTGAAACTATTTTCGTTCCGTTCCGTTAAGGCCTTGTTTCATTCCGTTTTCATTGCGTTTTCATTCCATTTCGTTTGTCAACTGAAACGCTGACACCCCTGTGCACCCCTGTGCACTGGCGTATGTGTTAAATACGCATTCATTTAAGCCTGACCTTTTCAGGGATTTAACTGAACTTTTAACGGAAGTTACCAGCGTAAGCGCATACGCGTAGTCGCTTTTTACAATAGGCAAAACGATTAAATTACTTATCTGACAGATATATTATCTGCGTAGGGTTCAGGCTTCACGCCATACAAATGCTGTTTACAGAACAATACCGAGACAGAAGTATTAGCAGTACTAAATTGAGCATGCATTGTATATGACTTAGACTGGTACAACACCGCAATATGTTACACACATATCCCTTTACAACATCGCCTTTTTTAGTTTATAGATGAAGATTCATTCCAACGAGGACGCAGCGTGGTGTGTAGTTAACCAAGTTACCTGCGGTCACCTCTGGAGAGCACATGACAATTATATCCCCACCGACATGTGATTACGGACGTCACGCTATATATACATGTATAAAATGTGCAACACTCATCTGTTAAGAGGATATATGTTATACATGATAATTGGTTTTATTGTCGTCTAGTTTATATTTTTATACTAGGTTATTTCCAATAAAGATAGACATGTTTCATTTATATTTCTTTTTTTTAAGGAATACTCTTCATCAAAATATTAACACTGTTTTTTTTTAATAAAATGTCAGTTATGGCGAACGTGGGCATTAAATGAGCATCACTCCTTTCGATTTAATAGATAATCCGTTTCAAGTGTCGTAATAGCTTATTCTAAATCATGCATAACACAATACCACAACAATATGATGCACATATTTTATCTACTACAATAGGACCTCATTTCTTCCATCGGATTAAGAGTTACGGATGCGCCATAATCTAAGATGTCAACATAAAAATATGAAGGTGTCGCAATAATGTTTTCGGTATGTCGATATATTATCACGTTTCCCGAGATAACTTTGACAAAATATATATCACGTAGGTAGGTAGCGCGGCTTTTTATCCCGTTATGCTGGGTTTGATATCGACTTATTGATGTTTTATATAAAACAGGTTAGTTAACACATATTTTCCCAAAAGAAATTATCACGCGATGAACTTATGCTAAGTAGGACTGTTCGTCAATGTGCCTCGTTTGGGTTTCGTATGTCGGTTACATAGCGACTAGCGAGGATAAGGAACACTCAGATGCATGTAGGTGATTGCTGTATAGGGGTCAACCGGATCAAGACAGGTGTACCGAAACATTTCTCGATTTGAAAATATAATATACTTTAATTTAAATTCAAATAATAATAATAATGATTAATTAACTTTCTTGCCAACAAAACCCGTAGACATGTGCACAGGCAATAGACCAGGATAAAAAATACTGACAAAACAACCATGTCGAATGGCCGTGTAATTTTATAGATAAGTAAATAAGACTAGTCACTTCCTTAGTGGATAGTTGTGGGCTTCCGATATAGCAGACACAAAGCACCCGTCTTATACGATACGCAGTATATGTATAATGGGGGTGTGTATTATCTGGCTGCTGGAGTTTTTGTGTCTCTTTTCAACTTTAATGATTGTCAACACATCAGGTAAGATTGGATGTACACTTTCTGGTTATCCTTCATTCTGATAGTAAACCTATACGTCACGTTGATCTGGACATCTGTCATAGCATAAGCCTGAAGTGTTTTACCGTAGCAAATACTGCCTGTACATCAGATAGGGGTAAATATTAAGCTTGTATCTGAGGTTCATGTTTTATACCTCCGCATTGAGTTGCTGTGACATAGTATTTCACGATAACCATTTAATTCAGGATATAACATTTAAATTTTAGAAACAGTAATATGTAGAAACAGCACATAAACAATATACTAGCTATGTTTAAAATAGTGCCTGCCATTGGTGTTTTGTGGCTACTGGTCTTTCTATTGTATTAACATTGGTAGGGCGGTTGACATGATTAACAAAGACAAAACAATAGTCTTTCACAATCGGTATGAACCTATATAATCCACCCACACCTTATATGTAAACATTTTCCGAGGGGTTTATTTTCTTTATATATTAGTAGTATGCTATTATATCTATTTTGTGTTAACGTAACGTATGTGTGTTGTGTTGTAACGTATGTAATTTGACGGCCTCATAATGTCTACTTTGTTGGATTTACTTCCTTATGTCATATGTCTCATAAGTAATAACGACAGTATGGTCAAATTTGAGCACTGGATACGAACAAACAAATATTGGTTGGCTGTGTATTACTTAACTATAAATATTGACAAAGAAGATATAACGGCAGTGCAGTCACATTTTTATTTATTTTTTCGTTATTCAGGGCGATCCGTCCTTGTTTGGAGACAGAAAATGAATATTTACATATCAGAAAATAAAACAGAGATTAACAGTCACTTGGAGACATTTATACAACATAAATACATAATCAAAAGTATAGTAGTTTACTATATAAAAGATGCTGTTAAATAACATAGTATCCCCTAGGTAAGCTTGAAACATAAGGCTAATTAGTGTACCATATTCATCTTGAATACGTGAGGTCAAGATAATTCATGCAAAAAAATCTGAATAACAGTATTGAGAAATATCTTTGGAAGACGACATTGTCGGTTCAAATTCAATTGAGTTCTCATTGTTTTTACTTACTTATACTATGAAAAAATTATGATTTACAACCATTAAATGATAACGTTTTGTTGATCCGGTCACATTATTCCACATTTCCTATTTTTGACCTCATTTGTGTGGAAGTGACGCTGTCTGCCATTTTGATCTGTTTACCCGAACAGCTACGGATATACATGTGCTCACTGGATTTATTAACATTTTGTTCTATTTATGAAGTTGATCTCACGTCTTCGAGATTATTATTTAACCATAATTAAACTTTAGTAACAAGCTACGTGTGCACTAATATCAGCATACTTCTTAATTAATGAATGTGTTTCTTTGGTCTGCTTTTTTTTTAAATGATAGTCATTAGTAACATATGCATTTGATCATGAATTTTAAAACAGAAAAGAAGTCCGGATAATTAGTGATCTCCAGTTGTTTTAAAGCAGTTTCAATTAAAAGTATAACATAACATAACAGATTAGTCAACCGGTAAAATCATCACTATGATAACCAAGTCCTGGTTCTCTTTTCTTATCAGTTTGATGGTACATTTGTACAGTTTTTACCAATATCAATATCCGTTCACCATACATTTGTGTTCATCATTTGTGTCTTTCAATGCTTGATTTTACCATCAACACATTCATGCATTGATGACCATGTAATGCTGAGATTAGTGACAATTATTAGTACTTTATATCGCCAATATATAATTTTTGTTTTGTTTACAGTTAACACCTGTCGTGAACCAAATGTCAAAAACACCACTCAAAGTTCAATCTATCTTCCTGAATATCCTAGTGGTAAGGCGGTAGATGGCTGTAAAATACAAATATTCGACAGCAACAATTGTTGTTCACATACACAGGAAGGTCAAAAGGAAGCATGGTGGCAAGTAGATCTAGAAGAACTTATAATGATGGAACACGTCAAAATATATTACAGAGGTGAGTAATCAAATCAACAATAAAATTATGGTAAGCTTAAAGTGCCTGTGATTATTTATATATTTCAGAACCTTTAGACGGTACTGTGGTGTCAAACTGCCTATCCTTTCAGGCGACTAATGTATCCACCATCCTTGCTTAATGCTATTTTCTCTCGGTGGTTTCTACTACTTATTACCAAAATTTATTTGATGCCCACATAAGAAACGTGGTACTTCTGCCTTTTTGGTGATGCCCCGTATATATCCGTGTTTATGTGAAACACTGACGGTTACGAGGTCGTTAAACAATCAAACTAGATATGTGTATAATACATTATACAGTGACATCTATTTTTAGATATACATATTGCATAACAAACCACAAATGGTTGAAAGGTCCGTTAGGCCTACAACGATAATGGCACAAACAACACCGATGACGTCAAAAGGCATAACAATACAAAAATACCAATGCAAAGTACATATACATGTAATTACGTATACCGTTTACGATAAGTATATCAATTGATGAGTTGTAATGCTGGTTATGTTGTTTGTAGTTCTGACTAATGAGTCTTCGGTCGTCCAACAGGTTGTAACTCCACTGTTGTGGATAGAGCCTGAATGAGTTCGTGTTTATTAACGACGAACTGTTGTGTATACATGTAATACTAGTATTGTAAACCGTAAGTGCTCTGATTCGGTTGTTTGTGTATACGTAGACACACGACACCGTTCGATACATGTGTAAGTACGTATGTCCGTGTAACTATGCATAGGAGGTGTGGCAAAGTCAACCATTGTTAGGCACAATTTGGTTGAGGAATGTTACTGATAATAATAACCAGCAATGATTCCTCCCTTTACATTTTCATTGATGTGATATAGCAGCTTAATGGAACGTTACAAAAACATTACCGATGGAAAGTTAAATATATTTTTCATTTAGATAAATAGACCTAGTTTATAATCTAGACTAAACAATACAGAAACAAAATGTATTATTCTGTAACAATCTATTAATTAATATAGGCAATGATGGCCCATGGGACAATATCATTTCAATGAATGTTTACTAGATGTTAACAAAACTCTAATTTTACGGTTTCTTTGACAGGAACATACCTTTTTCTAGATTTATGAAACAACAACAAACCAAGTAGTTAAGATTTGTAGCATTTTATTCATACAAAAATATTTGGCAATATAAGGGTACTCACAGACACTGCACATAACCTAACCTAGAATTGTTGAAGTCTCGACGAAGTGGCGTAGGTCAGGCCGTAAACTTGTATGCATTATTAATAGATTCGTGTCCATATATGGCAAATAATATGGACAGTCTATATACTAGAGGGCTGTATGAACTGTGTGAAAGCGGCTGTGTCGTATGTCGTAATGCCGGTGGAGAACACGGTGGAACAGAGCTGTTCCGATTGTCGATTCTAGTTCATGTTGAGTTAACGGGTTTACGGGGTGCCAGGAAGCATCTGGGCTGTGGGACGTATACGTGCTACAGCTCCCCCTGCATATGGGGGCAGGAGCTGCGTTACACCTAAGTGATAAGGCCCACATGAATATGTGCAGCATATGAGAGCCCCCATGAGTTAGTAGGTAAATATGGGAAGCCACCGACACATGCTAAGTGTTGAAAGATGTGTTGAGATATAGATAATATGAATTAAGTTATGATGAGTTCCGAATAGTTCATTTTGCATTCAATGTTATATCTCCAAGATATGTATATCGTAGCAGTTTTATGATTAGCTGCTGTTTAGTTTCGATGAGTTTGGGAGAGAGTTCAAAGTTCTGCCTTAGGATGTATTCCGTATAATATCTTTGATAATTGCATTGAAAGTTAATGTCGCCAAACTGACGCTATTAGTCAATAATACTCATGGATAGATGAAATGATGGCGCTAATGGAGGACAATGGGATTCCAAAGGTACCAAACGAAAGAATCAAATGAACACTGAACTCTGTACCCTGTAATAGAATATATAAGAATTGAGAGCATGGCCTCCTTATTCCTTGTTGAAGTGAGGAAAGCTTAGGTTGCCACAAAATTAGACTGCTTGAGGTCTGAGCCTCTTTTCTATAACACTGCCCTTATTTGAATAAAAACCAAGAATGGGCCTCCACGCACATTTGTATAAGGATGAGGACTGGACCTCCACAAATTTATATAAGGATGAGGACTGGGCTTCCACACGCTCTTTCAATTAGGATGAGGACTTGGCCTCCACACGCGCCTCATATATGGAAGGAGAAAGGCCACCCTAAGACTAATTTAGGCGAGAGCTGGGACTCCACACGCTTTAAGAACATATGTATGAGGACTTGGCCTCCATACGCGCTTTCAATTAGGATGATGACTTGGCCTCCACACGCGCCTCATATATGGAAGGAGGAAAGCCACCCTTAGAATAATTTAGGCGAGAGCTGGGACTCCACACGCTTTAAGAACATATGGATAAGGATTTGGCATCCACACAGCTTATATTAGAAAGTTTCTGGGGGGCCAACACACGCGGGGAATCTGTTACTTCCTTTCTGGTTTTAGGGCTTCGCCATGTTGAGTTGTGTTGCTTGCAGATCATTATTGGACGTTCTGATGTAAGTGCAATATCAGTCGGAGCTCCAGTGACCAAGTACTTTAATAAGATGGTCGGAAACATGTTTACTGGCTGCTGTGATTGCGGCTCCAATCCTGAATGAGTGACCATTATAATTTGTTTCGTTCAGTCCCAAATGGCCAATGAGTTTTTTCAAACGCCCAATGAAGAAACACCGACTCATACACTGGCCTCTATCATCTAAAAATAAAGGACTTCGTTGTTTCCCTCCATGACTGAGGCGCCAGTCTAAGAGAGCTTTCATTGTCTGCACAGGGCAAGCATTGTTATTGTTTCTGAACACTTTGATATTGATTCCCTGTTTGCATGGATCAGTTTTTGATGCTTTCAGGCGAAGTGTAAATGATGAGAAGTCCGTATTCCAGGTAACAACCTCTATACATAGCCCCTGAGGATATGCTGATTTCGGATTAAGGCATGTAAATTCACCACACCTGAGGAAAGCAAATAACGGCAGGCATAATGCTGCCTTTAGTGTACGGGACAGTTCCCTAGGGAAGATACCTTCAGCTAGTTTACGACACATTATCTGGAGAATATCTAGCGTGATGTGCAATCTAGGTTTGGTGTTTGGTGTTTGAGTTCTTTTTATTCCTCGTAGTATGGTATGGAGCCTGTCCAATGGGTTGTTTTCAAGTGTGACTAATGGATGTCTGTGACCTCTCATTAAGTAGCCATGTCTTATGCCTGCCAAGTATAATTTGATTATCCCATACCGTAGATGCAAGAACTTGAAACAATGAGTTACAAAATAAATTAAAATGTCTTCTGACAGGGTTGGTAGTTGTGAGGAATTTGCCTGGCTGTCCCTCAACCCAAACATAACTAAGAGGTGTCTTAGTTTATTAATTCCTGTTGCGTATGCTGCCTGAGTAGATGGGTTGATGGATTCTGTCCAGATTTGTTGCACCGCTTTGTCTAAGTAAGTGGTATTGAGTTGTGTGGGGTTGTCCTGCATGGGATGAAGTCCGCTAGTGGTGCCAGACGGCGAAATATGTCCATCTGAAAACGAGAAAGAGCATCTGCAATATTGTTTTGATGACCTGGTATATAACCTGCTGATATTGTGAAATTGTTAACGAATGAACACTAGGTAAGACGACGCATAAGAGTCATGATTTTGATCTACCTTTCCTGATTATAGCCACTGTTGCCTGATTGTCACGGTGAAATTTAATTCGTTAATTCCACTGATGACTCCATAACATGGCAGCAATCACAATAGGATAAAGTTCCATATGCGCTATAGAAATGTCATGTTTCTAAAGACAGAGACCTTCATGCCATTATCCCTGGAACCATCTGTTTTGAAAGAAACATCCAAAACCTATGACACCATTGGTATACAAGTCAAAGTCTGGTGCTTATGTTATGTCGGTATCCAGGAACACGGACATTCCATTCCAAGTTTCCATGAAATTGTTCCACATTTGTAGATCACTCCGACTATCTTTGCCAAGGTCAATTCGGTGATGTAATTTCTTCACTGTTGTTGACAAATATATCAAATGACTAACCAATGACCTACCATTAGCAATGACTCTTGAAGCAAAATCCAGATGGCATTACTAGCTAAGGAGCTCTCGCTTGGATATTTTACACTTAGACATGAAGTTCCCAATTATAGCTTTAATTCTGATTTTTTTTTTTTTTGTTGACTTGGTAACCTAGCTTCCATATTATGAGAGTCCAGTTCAATGCCTAAGTTTTCTACTGATGTACAAGGCCCAAGCGTTTTATGGGTGGCAACAGGTATTCTGAGTCTATTAAAAACTAGTGCTAAAATAGCTCTGGTTCTAGCTGCCTCAAATCGGGGTGTGTCAATGGTAAGAACATCATCTAACAGATGCATCACGAATTTAACTTGATATTTTTTTTGAAGAATCCAACATAAAGCCTGTGCTAATTAGTCAAATATCTTGGGACTAGACCTGTAACCGAAAGCTAGCTTAGTGAAAAAATAGAACTTCCACTTCCAACTTACTCCGTAGAGATGCCAAAAATCAGGTGAAATAGGGATAAACTTAAATGCATCAGCAATGCCTAATTTACAAAACAAGGAATCTTTGCCTGTTGTTTTCAGATACCTCATGGCGTCATCAATCTTGGAATATTTAAGAGAGTATTCTGCTTTGTCTATGAGATCATTGATACTATCTACATTATCCTTATCATGAGGTGCACTCAAATCAACAATTAAGCGTTTCTTTCCTGAATGTTTTCCTGTTGCTTTACCCAGGGGACTGACCCGGTACTGTGGAAATGGGGGTGTATCAAAAGGTTCTATGACAAACTGATCAACTACCTCTTTGTCTAAAAGCTGTTCTGCTGTTAATGGCTCATTAAGTGCTGATTGCAAGTTTTTACAAATAAATGAATCTGTAGGAATTTCGTTAATACCTGTATGTAAACCATATGACAGACCCTGTATTAAAACCGAAACAAAATCTTGATCTGGATAAAGGCTGAGTTCAGAGTGCAAGGCAACTATGTTGATTGGTGTACTTGCTTTTAGTCACTGCATTGTTGCTTTCTTATACTTTGCATCTTTAAAAGAACATGTTTGTAGGGGCATGATGACCTGGTACATCCCTTGTCATTGAAGTTGTTACAAACTTCCTGTCCTCCAATACCGATCCTGGGTCCACCGTGCAAATCAATACGTTGGCTAGATTTGTTTGAAGGTGTTTGCTGTGATGTCTGTTGATTTCTGATACGACCTGCCTGGTTCGCCAGCATTGGGCAGACGTTAGACAAGTGGCTACTGCAATGACACACTGAGCATGCGTTGGTACGGTGGCCTGAGCAGACCGTAGTGTAAATTTTATTGTCGCTAATACCCCAGTTGACCTTTATACCCTTATTTAGATAAAGGGCGGCCGCTCTGGCAGAACAAATCTTATGGTACTCATAGACCAATGTACCTGGGCAATTACACGAAATGTCAACAATATCCTTCTCGTATTGATCCAGTTCAGTTCTTCTATTATGGTAAACTTCACACATAACAGACTTGTAACTGAAAAGGCTTTGATAAACTCACCGATGGTCAGGGCCCGGTTGAGCCTTAGATCCGCCGGTCTTAGTTGTAGGACCTACCCTTCAATGATAACTGACCGTCCTTCTGATGTGATGTCAGGCATCAGGAGTGTCGCCAAGTTCACATCCTTCCCCGCGAGTATCTGTTGCCTCAGACAGGGTGAAATAATGTCCACTGATGATAGCGATTCCAGTGGCACTCCTTGCGTATCCATTACCGAATTTGGCGCTCCAATTTGACACATCGGGACCGTCACACTATGATGAAGTGCTCCCACACCGTGTTGGCCGCCATATTGTTGAATTGGTTGATAACCGAAACTAGAGGGCATTGTGGTAATAGCACTCCCAGTGTTAATGGCAGTATGAGAGGTACCCCGTGGAATCCTTGTTGACGAGAGGATACCATACTCTCTAGTCTTTCGATTTGGAGTTTTAACTGCATAACATCGACAGTACTATTCTGTTGTTATTTCTGTTCTGTTTCTTCTACCACCGGTCCGGCGATTACGGAATCTGTTGTCGAGTTGTCTGTATCATCTGCCATGTTACGTTGATACAATTTCAACAGCGTTTTTCTCGTGAAGTCCCCCGGAAATGTCTTTATTCCGAACGTCTCCAACGACTGTCGTAGCTGGTCGGCAGTCCAGTTTTCGGTATTCGTTTAATCGGGGCGTTTACGATATTTGGGTATTTGATCTTCCTGTGTCGCTGAAGGAGATAGAGAGCGTTTCTCCTGTCTCCTGGAGTTTCTCGTCCTGGAATTTGTTGAACGGCTCATTCTGACGGAACCTTGTTGAATCCAAGTATGGATATACTTTCATTACTATTACTGTACGGTAATGTTTACCAGTTATCTCGTAAGCTATAACGAGTATAAGAGCGATTACTCTGTAGATATAAGAGCGTGAAATTTACATCTGTACAGCTCGCTGGTAGTTGTAAAAACCTATGCAGCCAGTGTATCAAACCCAGGATTCTTACAAGTCACGTGGCTATTACTCATTGCTTAGAAATGTTGCTGTATGACGTAGCATTAGTCAGTTGGACATATCAGGTTATGTGTCTGGTGAAGGGGGCTGCATGGCTGGACAGAAACCCCAAACCAATGATGTTATCACATGTTAGTCTTAACAAACGCCCACACACTGGCTGTGAGTGGGAAAACCATATAGTTACAGACTGTTCTCTGACTAATATCTAACTGCCATTTAGAAATAAAGATGAGGAGGTTTGTATAAATGTTGTTTCATAAACCATGTTTAAACATACATTTAAACTTAAATATTGGCACATATTTATTTAAACAGCACGATTATGGGATTTGCTTTGCATAACAATTGCAATGATTACACAGATATGTCTGTAACTTAAGGACGAACATATTACACATACTAACACACTTGTCATTAGGGCTTTTCGCCAAAAGATGAAAAGGCATATAATTGTTGATTGTTTCTTTTTATTCTTGTTTTTATTATCCTAACATTTTTTTTTGACCATCTTAAAGTTGTATTGGTAGCGGGTGTGTTTATGGGCTTTCGGATGTGTTGTAGGTCATTGTCAGAAGATGTGTACTACATCATTGAAGCAAACGTTTTCAATTGGTTCATAGTTTATAATGGAATGTTAACGCAAATAAATGTTAAGTTCTGTGTTATTTATGAACTATGGATACATAATTTGCATGCTGTAAATGAATATTTAAAAAAAAGTCCACACCTCTGCGTTAAGGGAAGTTACACTGATGTCTGATACATCTGTCAAAATGAACGTCCCAAAACAACTTAGCTGTCAGCTGGACAATGAAACAAACACTTTTGAGCTGGAACTACCTGATCACCAAGATATGTCAGATGAGGAAGTAGAGAGATTTATTTCTACATCAATCATTAAAATGAAATCAACACAAGACATTGAGGTAGAACTTGCCGCGAGTGCTGACCCTGGTATCCCATCCCCCTGGCAGCCGGTCCGGAGTGACTCCCCTCATCAAATACCTGCCAACAGATTAGCACCTTTCCGATTTAAAAAGGTTACAGAGGAGGAGCGAAAATCCTTTGAAGATGCCAAACAATCTTTAGCAACAAGGAGAAATACACAATGGGGATTATCTTAATTCTAAGGTAATAATTCACTTCACCCCCACCCCTGATGTTTAAACAAAGGGAAGTTACCGTACTGTCTCCGCTGATTATCTTGATGTTGTTGAAAGTTGTCTTTCCGTATAACTGCATAATAGCAGGTATTAATGCTGATGAAGTAAATTCGGTTAATGATTTTGAATACACAAGCAATCCAAAGCACTTCATCATTACACAGAAGACATTCTTCTTTTGTAGAGTGGAGCATGGAAACGTCTGGGGAGCATGTCCCATGCAACAGTACAGCCACAGAGGAATTGGCAAACAAACTGAGCGCATTCTACTGTGAAGCAAAACCCCAAAATGTGGAGAAGAGAGCGAAGCAAATGTTAGCACGACAGGCTGAGGAATATCACAAGAACACTTTGAAAAAATATTAGGGGGGGACTATAATTAGGCACATTCAGGATATCGGCCGATATTGGACGAGATAAAAAAATTAAGGTAGCAAAAAACACTCTAAATGGGTTTCTGAAAAAGCAAATGAAGTCTGGGATATCTAGACCAACACAACATAAGCAAGTTATCGAGGCAGTTGATTTAATAAAAATTGCAACCTACCTTGAAAGTGCTAAGAAAAAATCCGGTAATTTTCCGTCAAGCTGTATGGTATGCTTTGTCGATACACTTTGTAAGTCGTGGCACAGAGTTCCACCAACAGTTGAAACTTGATTCATTTTCTTTCCTTTATGACGAGAATGGAGAGTTTGTACAGCTTACACATGAAATACAGCAAACAAACTTTCAGGGCGGATTACCGGGTTGCCGGGTGTCCGGTCAGTCTCCTTAAGATACTCATTGAAAAGACGGATCCCAGCGCTAAAAGCCTGTTCAATCATTACTTATATTTATTTTTTAAACATTTATGAGGANTTATGAGGTCATAACAACGCGATTCATTCAATATGTCCATAAACCCGTTGTTGTTATGACCTCATACATGTTGAAAAAATAAAAAAAATCATTCCTTAAATATGGTCGCCATGACTTCAAAACTATTGATTATACAGTATCACTGTATGTACATCATTTGTAGATAATGTCCGGTGCCAATTGTTTTTTCATACATGTGAATATACTTTTTGTATAGGTCTCAAGATTCTAAATGTGTTATTTTAAGGAACAACCTCTTTGAAAAACTTCATCTTAGTTCTACTAGGTCCAGAGTCTTACTAGGTTCAGGTTGTTGGCTATAAAACAATGCATTTTAAGACCAGAAATGAGACTGCCACCTTTCTCATTAAGAAGCAGTGTGATGATTAAGGTGGGTCCCAGCCTGATGACTGTTTTAATTCCAGGGCAAAAAAAGAAAACACATTGAAATCCCTATTTCCTCATAAAATTTCTGCGTCAGTTGCCTGTTACAGAACATGCTGTCGGTAACAGCAGGCATATGCCCTTTTCTTAATCATCGACCTACAAGGGTGTTAAAAAACGAAGAAACGTGTTTAACGCTTCACTGGTAAAAAATTGATTGTATTTTCCTTGGTTAAACGCGAAATTAACCCTGCGTAAACACAATATATAAACATTAGCTCTAGTGGAGAATCTTGTTTTTCAAATAGGGAGAAAAAATGATCAAGATTATCAGCAAATACAACAATTTGGTGGCTATCAAATATACCAGTCAAACACGTCGGATTGGCGGAACGGTTCCCTTTGCCATAAAGACACAACGTCAATGGCGGCTGCGTTGTCTTTGATTCCCGTTATCCCATGTACAGGCAGCGCCCAGTACCTGACGATATACAGCGACAGACGGTCAGGAGGTCTACCGTGGTACTCTACAAACGCTTATCTCGAGCTTTGCGAGGTAGAAGTTTACGGTACGTAAATTTGATATTAAACATTACAAAATTGTGTTATTCTTGTGTATATGGGGCTGTGCTTGTATTAACACAAATCGATAAA